TTTTTGCGGTCCGAGTATGTTTCATTTGGAACTCCCTACCTCCCAATGTTGTACATTCGCCGAGTTTAACCACTTTCAAGAACAATTTAGATGCATATCTTATGTCCAAACCGAACCTGGAACTGTTTAACTCCATGTGATACTCAGCAAAAATGACGTATATTTTTGTGTCCTTTTGTATATATACGTCCACCCTATGGTCGTTGTAAAGTTAACTGCTTTTTAGACCATTAAACTTTGAATTACCTTGAATTAGCAATAAAAAGTGTAAAATCGTGCTTCAGAATAAGCAGTCCATGAACCCACTAACTTCAATTCAAGTAACCCTGGAGGTTGTTTTATTAGCTTCGATAGAAGTGTGTCTAATGAAACCACTGCTCAAACGCCCGAATGACTTCTTGCCACCTGCGCCACATGTGACGTGAATAAATGTATATCACTTGGCTTCAATGGTCGCGCGTGCCTACTTACAGTAAGGGCTTAGTTGCTCTATGGTTGCGATATATGGTCCCGGCGGACAGGTGATCTCAATTACCTCCAGGGTTTGTCCACCGGTTTCTCAGAAGTGTTTCTGGCTTTGGATGGCGCCAACGAATTGGTGACCAGCTAATAAGAATATGGTTTTAATTTGTGCAGCAGATAGGCCAATCGCTGAAGAAATCGCTTGCTCAGCCATGCGCTGCTCGTTGTCTACCGAGACCAGTGTTATCCTGTCTGCCTTAGGATGGTGCAAAGTGCGGAAGATGTGTGGCATAGCATAAAGACATGAAGGATCATACGAAGCACTTGGGTAGTTTTGGCGCGGTACGGCTGCAGAGATGATATCCTTGTAATCCTCATGTGTGGTTGATAGGTTGTAAGAACTAGCGTCTAACCGGTGCTAGTGATGTTGTGCTCTCAGTTCCCTCTAAGTTGTCTGATTGGGTTTTCGTAGATGTAGACACCTCGTAATGCTTGTGGTGGACTAGTGTCTGTATCCAATCATTTCTTGTTTATTTTCGTGTTCTAAAAACAAAATAGACTTTTGTTGTGTAATAGTGGTGGGTTGATATCAACGGTGACGCTGCTGTCTCTGATAATGATGGTGGTTAGGATGGCGATGATTACTATTGTGGACATCATACAGAGTTGGGTGACCCAGCTAATTCGCCCTCCAGCAACTTATTATACCGTTCGCTTTCTCTAGGTTAATAGTCTGAAATTACGCCCGAAACCCTAAGATATCCTTAGGTATATCTAACAGACGCTTTGTAACTAGACACGAGTACGTGGATCATTCGCTAGTTAAACACATTCTCAAGATTTACTGCTCTATTTAAGTTTAGGAAGTCTATCTAAAATTTACGAATTGAATTTCCAGATCTATAATTCTGAACACATTTTATAAAGACCTAAGTTTACTTACAGCACAATTTTGGAGTACCAGCCGGGCAGGTTGTTGAGTGAAAGACCTTACAGCAGTCGAGAAATGTGCCCAAAATAAATGTTTGGGTTTATAGCCTGTCCAGTTTTGACAGTTTAGCCTCTTGCTCTCCCTAACTCAAATGCCGGTAATACTCCGTGTAATACTGGCCTTAGTTTGTCTCCGGAACCTTACGCTACAAAAAGGTATCATGTTCGCACAAAAAATGATACAGCTTGACGTACGACACTCCAGGTCTGACTGTGTCCTTTATTGTGATTTCGGACTAAGTAGACTTAGATGTTCCCACTTATACAACTATAGAGCACTTCTAGCAGAATCAGTCCAATTGTGCTGAAAAGTAATTATAGAACCGAGATCAATGAAGGCCAAGTGATGAGGAAATTTACCGTTTTCTTGAATAAGTTCTCTCTCCCGAATATCCCAGAGATTTTCATTTGGATGCCATGCCAGGTATCACTAGATCAGGCTTGCTTTTAGTCTTTGAGGAAAAGTAATTCACTATGTGTAGTTAAGATACATTCTCCAAATTCGAAACAACTATCATAAGCCTGTGTTTTTCATTGACTGTCCACCACACACCACCTCCGATGTTTTATGCTGTGATATATTTTAAGAAGTGCGCTAATTTACCATTTAAACGTCGTACGCTGCACTCATTTCAGTCTCAGAAAACCGTTCAGCGTTTGACTGGTTCTGCTTTTCGGTATCCCTCCGCTCATCAATCTTCAGTACGGTTATTTCAGTAAATTAACATCCTGCCATTCTGGTCTCACACTTCTCAGGTTAGAAAATGTCGGACTAGAATCACCCGGGCACAATTGGATCTTCGGATGCGACACGAAACATTCTATGCTCCTTCATGAAGTTCCTTGTTTAGCTCGCATACAAATTCCCTTCTGTCAGCCGTACTGTGGCTTTGGGAGAGATTGGTGAAAACAGCTGACGTCTGACTAAAGCAAGCGTGTCTTTCATGTGGCCTTGACCAACCAATCGGTTCCCAACTCTCCGGAAATGTCTATTTGTCGAAATGGTTGGCGAATCAGATGCAGGCGATACCACTACGGTCATATTCTCTAGGTACGTAAACACCAGCTGCCGGTAGAACATCAGATCGCGGCGTTGGTCAGAGGATGTGACTTCACCTCAGTTGTCATGACAACACAGATCCGGACGGGATATTTTACGTGGCAATTTTGACATTAGATTTTGATGCATACACCATTAGGTCGGCATCTAATGGTACATCCAAGTCAAACTCGAACTCAATGGAATGCACCAAAATAACCTTAACACACACTTTCTACACCATTTGTTCCTGCTCAGTCTCTTAGGCTCCCTCCACGGGAGGAATATTCAGTTTACTATCAACGAAGAACTGCCTCCGGGGACTCAGATTGGCAGTTTGTTGGATCACGTCCCTGGTTCATACAGCAACTTGAAATTTGTCAAATTGGCACATACTCACGACACATCCAGATTGTTTTCTGTCGACCAGTTCACTGGCGCTATCACAGTAGCATCACGACTTGACAGAGAAGTATTGTGTCAGGAAAAGAGTCTCATGTTACTTCCTGCCTCCTCTGGTACACCATTTGATAACAAATTGTGGGAGTTCAATATAACCAAACCCGGTACATGCCAGGTGCACTTTGGTGTTAACTGTCTAAGCGTCCGAGCATCAACTACACTGAACGGCCGACTGAATGGCAAGTTGATTGTGCTTTTTGACGTGACTGTGAACATTCGGGATCTGAATGACAATTCATGCACGTTTTTGCCATCCGATAAGCAAGTGATAACGTTGGACGAAGATGCGCCTGTGGGTGAAACGCGAATTCCACTTCACATACCCTACGACCCCGACGATGTGAGTACGGGGCATTCAGTGAACTTGAACAGTATACGGTTGCATCCAACCACACCACATGAGTACCCAAGCCAAAGAGTTGCGAATGAATCCCCACTATCAATCGTTACAGAACAAACGTTCCGCATCAACATATTTAATGGAAACTCTCCAGACATCATGACAAACATTCCATTTGACTCCAACCATTCCTTTCCCTTTCGGATCGAACTGGAGTTGCTCAAACCATTAGATTTTGAGAAAAGGCAAAACTATACGTTCTCCGTAAAAGCCGATGATGGTTCCACTGGTGCTGAGCATGAATGTAGTTTGAATCTAATAGTTCAAGTCCTCGACTGCAATGACAACCCACCTGTGTTTGAAAAGAATTTTTATTCGGCGAATGTAACAGAAGACACTCCCATAGGTATCCTCATACTTCAGGTCAAGGCAACCGACGCTGACAGTGGACCGAATGGGGCCGTTCAGTATAGAATTGAAGGTGCAAATTTCAGGGCACTGAGAAGCTTCAAGCTGCATTCGGAAACCGGTGAACTACGTTTGAACGATCGATTGAATTACCGTGACCAGTCGACATACAGTTTCAATATTGTCGCCGAAAACATAAATACGAACTATTCTCTCAGGGATCGTAATCGAAAGCATAATGCTGTGACTCGCGTACAGATTCACGTGACAGATGTGAACGATCAGGCTCCGGATATCCATATTTTCTCACCTACTGGGTTATCAACATTAGAGGTGGTTGAAGAAACAAGTCCAGGGCAAGATATAGCAATTGTGGATGTTACGGATGGGGATTCGGGCCAAAACGCCCTGGTAGATTGCAGGCTTATTAATCAGACTACTCCTGATGCGCTAAAGCTTACTTTTATGGACGAATCTGTGGTCCAAAATGCGAGACCGCATAACAAAAAGCGCTACAAAATAACCGTTGAAAAAAGCCTGGACAGAGAATCTTCAAAATCTCTACATTTTACTATACATTGTTGGGATCATGGAACTCCATCTCTGGTGGCGGACATGCCAAGTACGCTTAACCTTATTGATATCAACGACAACCTACCATTGTTTCGAAAGAACGTGTACTCAGTGATGATCACAGAAGATAGCGACCCACTTCGATTAAAGAATCGATTTGAGATCGTCAAAGTTGAGGCAACAGATCGAGATGATGGACGAAACGCTCAGCTGCGCTACACTCTGGATCACGGAACTCCAACCTCTCTTCTTGGTCTTGTAAAAATTGATGCAGAATCTGGTGTACTCAGTTCCACCGGTAGCTTGGACAGAGAATTTCTGGATGCTTTCTCAGTTACTGTCATTGCTACAGACCTGGGGGATCCCCCACGATCAGCACACACTGTTGTCAACATACGCATACTAGATTACAATGATAATCCACCTACATTCCTCAAATCTGCGTACTCTTTTTCTGTAAAAGAGAACTGTCCTGTGGGCGAGTTGATTGGCACACTGACCGTTACCGACGACGATATCGGAAATAATGCAAGGATCAAGTTTGAACTTGACGATGTGGTTGATCGTGCCTCAGCGTTCTCACGACCCCTAATGTTACACAAAGGCACCACAGACTACGACGCACCACTTAATCCCTACTCCACAGTTCACTCGGATAGTCGCGAGAAAAATCACAACGAAGAGCTAACTCAGGTAAGACTTGTCAGTTACCAAGTAAGGTCACCGCCATCAACGCTGAAGCAGCTACAGAACAGCACTATATATGAAGTCCAACTGTATACCAATTCAATATGGGATAGGGAGTCCAACATGCCGTATTCAAGGGCTGTAGCTACTGGGGAGTTTCGAGCCATGCAGATGGGCGAGGTTGGATTAACTGGGGAGTTGGGCCAGATGAACTACTCACTAGACCGAGAATCGTATGTGGTGATTCAGATTCAGGCGGAAGATCAAGGCACACCGCGACTAGTAAGACGAGTCACAGTTCGAATACTCATCGAAGACGAGAATGACAATTCGCCCATAATGCTGTTCCCTGATCCACACACACTAAATGTGACACGCATTCCGGTCTCCTATAAAGAACCAAAGGGATATACATTTGCTCAGGTAAGTGTTCTCATTTCTTCGTCAAGATTTAATTTCTTATAGACCAGGCACGTGATTTTCGAGAAACACCGCAAACTTAGGAAAGAATGTATGTGTTCATGATTGAATATGACCTCTAAAACATGTAACCCAGTTTGTTTTGCTGGAGAAGCGTTGGTTTTGCCATTGAATCGATCGAATGGCTGGTCGGTTGTAGAACGGATGTAACCAAGGTCGCCCGTTCTGGGTTTTAGTTTGCTCATGGTCCTTTAGGGTCCAGTGGAAGGTATTGTTATGCGACCACGATGACCACAAAACCCATTATACCGTGTTTGTTGACCACCTATGTCCCTTCGAAACCTAGACGGAGCCGGATTGTTGAACCGAGAAAGCCGAAATGAAACCTGCAGTGTTTTGGTTAGATCACGTATGAGCATGTTTATACTTTCGACATTTCGTCAAATTAAATGGCAAGCCACTTGAAAATCTCTGTTTACGTGTAGACTGATGACGATGGCAATGATAAGCTCGCCTAAATGAATTATGACCGCTTCAGTAGCTCAACCGTAAACATTGCGTTTGGAAACGCATTAACAGGTTTATCATATCAAGTCTATGCACACAAAAAATTGAAAAGCACCCAATTTGACGACGAAGTACTTTATTTCGTAAAACTTTTGTCTGAACTTATACGAACTTTTAGAGTAAGGTCTGTGGGGTAAAATACGTCTGATCATAAACAACACGACTCCTCAAAGTGTCATGGTTAAACAAATGTGGGTATGAAATTGATTGTATTTCTGGTTAGCTGCCTGCCGCTTCGCGGAAGGGTATACAATTCCTTTGCCAAATACAGGGATCCGATGCACTACAGGTGTATTGATGTTTTGCGACAGAAATGGGACTTTTGCAAAGTGTTTCACTTTGAGGTAACTTCGCTTTCTGCATTGAACCACATGATTCTTACGTTAAAGAGAACCTACGGCACACAACCACTTATAACCTAAATTTAAGTAGGTGGCAGATCGTAAAGTACTCAATCCTCTGCCTATTTCGTCCCAGTAAATTTGTATTTTACACGACATATTTGAAAACGTTTTACCTTTTGACAAGTTGTAACGCGCTTCTTGTCAAGATGAATATATTTCCTTGTTCCGTACATCTAAGGTGGAAATTTAAGGTACACCTGAAACGTTTTGAGTTGATCATCTCGTTTAATGATTATGAAAATCCACTCAGTTTTCTTCTGCCAGATTTACAAAGTACACCTATTTTCCCGGCTCATAATATGGAAAAACAAAAACTTCGCTTGACTAGGTGAGCGGCAACTAACTTGTATTTCTTCGGTAGCTCTTCACGTACCTCTTCCTCACACTCATTCAGCGGAGAAACTGAGCGAAATCCAGCAGATTTATCTGGGTGTGAAATCGCCCCCTCCTCCGGGGTACCAGTTCACGAGTCAGGGCTGAGTGACCTAGAGGCAGTGGTGCAGCATACTGTCTAAGTGAGATTTATTCATATTGCTGATCAGCAGTGACAAAACGGTACACTTTTCATACAGTACCCAAATGGCCTCGCGTGCAAAGTTCCACAGAACCTCATCAGATACGCGCTACTGATGAATCACATTAAGAAAGAAGCAGCTATACAATGTTTCTTGGCCTTTCAGCACAGGCCGACTTTACCTAAGCAATAAAATCTCTTAACAACACTCATAGTAAAAGGTGGAAAATGGATAGTTTAGCTCCATAAGCGATAAACAGCGAAAAGGCCCTTGCCGGTATTCGACTTTCTGTAAACGTTTCCCAATAACTGCCCCTATATAAATGGTGGCACTCATCCTGACGTGTTTGACACAATATTGGCGGGTATCAACTCCGCATCATTTTCGGGAAATTCATTTCAAAGAACGATTACGTTTAATCCGTTTCACATAATAATAATCATCATAGTTCTGTAATGCTCAACCAAGTAACACCTGTATGAGCAGGCACGCAGATGCCTCCATATAATCAAGTTGGTTTGGAAATCTCTCCCTCAATTATTCTGAAGACGCTTTATTATCCTAGTTTGGAGAGGTGCATGAGCTAACGGGCCCGTCAGAATCCCTGTTAGTATGTCTACTTAAACAGAGTGGGTAATGCAAGGTTCATTAAACGTTCATGTGAAGCCAATGCACTTCCTAAATTTCTAGAACAAAGGGGTTTTGTATACTGGCAAAACCAACATTCGAAAAGACTGACTGAACTGATGTAATTTCTCTCCACGATTGTCACCCAGCGTAGACATCAAAAGATTGATGAGAAATCGAAGCGACTGCCCACTTTTTATGTACTTATGCAACGTAGTTCCAACCGTTGGTGATTGTGGTTCATAGTTTTGAAATCCAGTATCGACAAGCTTGTTCTCATAACGAATTCAGCTCAAAACCATACTGAAAACTTTAGTGTAACTGAGATCGCGGAAACCACAAATAGTGGATCAATAATCAGTTGATCAAAGTTGCCCCTAAACTTCTCGAGATCGACGAACAACCCACAAGTGTGAAATGCAATCAGTGTCAACGCCCGTCCACATCAGCGTGCCCGGTACTGTTCACAAGTGAGAAACTCTGTTCATCCGGCTTACTTCCAGACAGGCACTAATGACTAAATATCGCAATCTGAGAAGACGCGGTGTAGGATGTCACGAAAAGTTTAACATGCTAAGTAAACTATGCGATTTTACGTTTGCAATCTAAACAAAACGACGATGAGGTTCAGGTTACAGAAAAATTGTGCCAGAATGAAGAGTTTGGATATGGAAATTAAGCATCGTTCACAGTCGACTAATCAGTTAGATGGCGCTCTCTGGTCTTCACAAGATACCAATAAGTAAAGACCAACTCTACACGGGAGCGATATTGCAGATCGCATTTTATCTGTTCAAAAATTAGCATTGTCGTTAAGTAAAGATTGCCTGACCAGAGATTCAACTGAGTCGGCTGGTAGCACTAATTTAATTTGCTTTTGATTGTACGACTCCACTTAAGTGAGGTTTGTTGACTGATGGTCGACATTAGCCTGAAGAAAGAGAAGACCGATGATTGATTGTCGAAGTTTTCTCATCAACCTCATGAGCAATGTTAATGCGGGTGAGTCTCTTCTCTTCTGCGATATACAGAAAGTAGCATGCATCACCCATCTAGTAATTCAGCCAATTCTACGCAAGATTTCTGGGCAAATTCTAATCAATGTTACCACATTTTCGTTCATTCATAGCACCGATTAGGTGCACGACTAAATGTTGGGAGTGAGGAAAGGACTATGCAGTTAACACATGGTATATTCATACGAACATTGGACGTGCATCACCTGATAGGTCCTGATGCGATTCCGCTTCTTCTTCATGAAACATTGGCCAGGTTTCTGTACCTTAACAAAGCAAAAGGTTTGGACTTTTCAGTCTACAAACGAATTTTGTGTTAGCCATTTACAGGCACACATTGTGGACTCATGTACCTCTTATTTTTCTACCTAGTTTGTGGTCCCAAATTTCTTGGTTTACTTAGGGTTTAGTTTTAGTAAGGGAGGTAGAAGCGACGCGGTGACTTATTCCTTCTTCCACAGTATACCTGTATCCTCTTGGTTTAGATCCTGGGTATACCATAACCATGCGCGCCTTTCAGCAACTATGGTCGTTGGTTTGTTCACTAAGCCGGGCAATTTGATTGCAGCACTGCTCACCACTGATGTGCCATTCACCAAAAGTTCACCGATGACGTCACCTCGATTTACGATGGAACGTTTGTAATCATACTGTCCCACTCAGCGAACAAACCAGTGACCATTCACGCTACCTGAGCTACCAACGTTTCTCTATATAACATCTTCATCCATGCTTTCCAGTTTGACGCAGGTCGTTCTGAAGTTGACTACCAGTTAAAATGTTCCCCAGAAAACAGCTTTGCCACTGTGAACATGCACACACACACACACATGATACGGATGAAATCGTGTCTATCCAAACTCAGAGCTTTCAATCACACCTCGTTTTCCGAGCGTGAGGAGAAAATGCATTAGATCGACTTTTTGTACCTAATAAACTGCACACATGTCAGCAGCTCAGCTCGAACCCATGCAGTTGCTTGTGTATGGTAATCGTATCATCGTACTATCTCAGTTTAAGCCGACATCACTGTTTCAACTAGTTAATCAGACGCTCAGGGATGAAAGCTCATCTGCGGAAAAATGCATTAGGTACATCATCATCTACACTTCAACCAGACCTCCTAATGCGACTGGCATGAAATGCTTTTATCATGATCCGGAAATGAAACAAACGCAAAGTTGATTGTGTGCGATTTTGTCACCATCCATTAAAACTGTTTGCTTATGTAGAGAATGAACTGCCCTCAAGCGAATTACGAAGAACAAATATTACCAAATATTACAAGATTTGGTAATTTATTTACTTCGCTGTGCTAACATAATCTATCGAACCAGAATGAACGGAATTAGGCAAAATTGTGGGCCCGATCTATGTTTAAATCAGCTCATCAAATGGCTTTTCAAAATCGACTACCCCTATAATGTAAATATCTTTTTAAATCAAGCAGTTTGCGGGAGATTCAGCTGGGTTCCAGTTGAGTCTCTCGAAGAACCAAATTTATCTCCAATTGAGTGTATTTCTCGAAATCAGTACAATCTGTGTTCAGGTAGAACATATAATTGACGGAAACTCGGGGACTGCGCCTACCTGATGAGCCCCAAGAAGGGCGGAACCGGTCATGGGCTGTCGAAGAATTCTCAACAACCTCATGAGTAGTGTATTACGTCCGTATAGTTTCATGTAGTAATTTTCCATATTAAGATCGTGAATGTCCTAGGTGGTTTTTCAATAGCTGATAACTCTGAAAAGCTCCATCTGATCCGAATGATTTTCAGTGAATGGAGCAGTTTATTAATAATTGAACGAAAGTGCTAGTTTGAAAAAAAACAGCTGGTGTTGATTCGTCACACGATAGGCAGTGAAATCTC